TAAAAACACTTACAACAGGAATAGATATTTTTACAGAACCAAATGAAACACTACGCGAATAGAAAGAGATTACTAGCGCTAATTCTAGAGGAGAGATATAAAGTATACCTCATTCATAAAAACATTAAAACTAAGCGACCCAGCGATAAACTTAACTAAAAGAAGATCGGACCATTCCTTATTAAACGGAAAATCTTAAATACTAACTACGAACTATTATTACTAAATGGAATGAGAATCCATCCTATATTTCATATATCGCTACTAGAGAAAGCATTAGATAAATCTATAATCGCTACAAACATTACAATGAAAGATACCAACGAATACGAAGTTAAACGGATACTTAAAGCACGGGGAGATATAAAGAATCGTTATTATCTCGTTAAATAAAAGGGATATCCAAACTCCAAAAACACCTGGGAACCAGCTAAGAATCTCACGAACTACTTAACGTCGCTTAACTAGTTCCACTAGAAAATAAAAACTCATTAGGAATAAGGAAACCCAAGTCTACTAAAAACTCGGGTATCTAATTGAGCATGTTAGACTCTAACTCCAGACGCTCTTAGGCCTCTAACTCGTCTAGACTCTCCACACCACGAGCAATTATCTCCGCAGCCTTTTATCGCAAAAATTTCTCCTAACGACGAATCCTTTGCAAACGAGCTATCGCCCGCTCCAAATCCTCCTTAGCCAAAGCACGTTCTCTGTTGAGACGATCCTTTTCGCGAAGGACACGATTATAAGCATTTAAAGACGTTCCGCCCGGATTATAGCTAGTGTAACCACGCAAAGCGCATTCGCTACACCTATCTTTCCCTTTAGCGATAATACACTCTTAATTATTTTTTTAACACGAATCGCAGGAAGGCATAACGAAGCCAAAGGCAAATATAAACTTGGAAAGACGTTTGCGATTAATCTTCTAGTTAAGGCGAGATCGCTGTTTTGAAACACGGTTAAAAGACATTATAAAAAGAATGACGAAGAAAGAAAAAAGGGAAAAAAGGGGAAGGAAGAGAATACTTACTAAACGAAACGAAATAGCCTTAAGAATAAGACTAATAAGGGAGGAGTATTATGTTACGAACCAAGGGTACCTAAAGCAGTTAGCCGGCATTATGGGCCGCCAGCATGCAGACAAGAATAGGGCCTAATGGGATCGCAGGTTACGTGAGTGGATCAGATGGGATTAGTCTAATCCAACTCAATGGATCAGAGGGGATTAACCTAATCCAGCACGGGGGATCAAATGGGATCTGTCTAATCTAGGACTACAATAGAGAGATAGACGAATACTTAAGGAGAAGGTATTCCTATAAGTCAGATAGTCTAGATCTCTATTAATCAATCTAAGCAATAGTTTTATTATTAAGAGTTATACTCTTAACGGCCTTATTGTAATACTACTTAAAAGCTACTCTATAGCATTTAACCTGACTTACTTCCTAAGAAATAGACCTACTGTGCCTTAGAACCTAAGCCACCGTTACACTAATACCCTCTTAATTAAAGTAATATAAAAAGCCTTTACCTAAACGTATTTACCTAATTATTAAATAATAAGGGATTAAATTATAAAGAGCTTTATTATAGTATTTATAATAATTAACGTAAATTATAATAAGAGAAATAAAGCTTAAATTAATAAATAACTTAAAATAAAGAAAATCTATATACTAAACTTATTAAAGGTATTAATAACGTAAAAGAAAATGTTAAATTACCCTTTAAAAGAATAATAGTTTAAAGCTATAAGAGTAAAGATTAAAGTATTATAAAAAAGAG